CGACTGCCTGGCTCCCTCAGCTGCAGGACGCACGCAGCTCCAGAGGGCTGAGGTCCCCGTGGCCCTACTAGGCCCCAGGGAGGGGCTGGCTAGGTCGCTAGGATCTTTTTAACAACAATAGAAAAGAATCTTCCACCTTCCCGTCAGCCGCTGAATGCACAGCAAAGCTGCCCCTGCCCACACAGCTCCTCCCCCACAGCTACCCTGCCTGCGCGGAGGGCCGGGACCGTCCTGAGGGGATGCAGGGCCCCGGGGTAACGTCCCCAGCGGAGCCAAGCACAGGCCCAGGGCACCCCCAACTTGGCACAAGCTCCACCCCTGGTCTATCCCCTCCCTCCCCCCCCCCAAGCAATGGGGGCTGGGAGATTACGGGGGGCCTGGCACAGTGGCAACCGGGGCACTCTGCTCCCACCACCGCTGAGAAGCCGAGCGCAGCGAGCCAGGAGGCGGCGGCAGGGCTGAGTGGAGCAGGCTGCCAGGCCAGGTAATCCCATGTGTCCCATCCATAGGACAGCTGAGGGGGCCCCCATGGGGCTCCCAAAAGCGTGGGGCCTGGTACGGCTGCCCCGAACCGTCCTACAGACAGGATGGCTCTGCCCAGGGCCTACAGACACTCCTTGCAGGAGAGAGCCAGGGGGCTGCAGCTGGGTAAGAGGGGACGCACAGCACAGCTCGGGCTGCTGCCTGCAGGCACGCCACGTGCCCAACCCCCAGCATGCTGCCCTCTCTCTGCAGGCGTGCCGCTAGGACGGCCCCAGCACGGGCTGCCCTCTCCGTGGGCGCACCGCGGGGCCAACCCGTGGAACAGGCTGCCCTCCGCTGGGGGTGCTGCTCAGCCATCTCACCCAACAAAGCGTGCAAAATGACAGTGACTTTTATAAGATGATTTTAAACCATCGCTGGTCGAGTTCCACCCCGGCTCTCTGAGCACAGTTCTCGGGGCTGGGAGCGGAACCGCCAACAGCTGCAGGAACCTGCAGGCCCGGATGGCACCTCGGCAGCCGTGCATGACACAGCAGGGGACCGGGGAAAAGCCACTCACTTGGGATAGGAGGAGTCTCCGAGGCCCAGCACGGCACAGTCCATCTGGCAAAGGGAGGTGGGTGGCAGGTTCTTTCGGAAGATAAACCGCCAGAAATTCTACAAGCAAACACAGTCAGAACCGCCGGGCTCCAAGGTCCCTCCCCACCCCCCAACCCTCAGACTGCTCTGCCCCAAGGGCCCAGTCTGGGGTCTGTTTCAGGGGGCGATCGGCTCAGCTGAGCCCTTGGAGATGCAGAATACAATTCCTCTGGTTTATTCAGCAAGCTGAAGCCAGGAAGCAAGCAAGTGTCGGCCTTCCCTGGTGCCAGTCGGCAGGGAGCCCTCGGCAAGCACAAGGCCCTGCCTTGCCATGGCAGTGGGACAAACCGCAAGCTGCTGCAATCGCGCCACCTTCCACATTTGCCCCTAGGCCTGCCAAAGAAAGGCTGTGAGGGGGCTCTGGTCACATGGGGACCCCAGGGCACATCCGCAGCTCTGAGCACAGGGCTGGGGGGCATCTGTAGCCCCATGATCCCCCTCTCTGGCTCCCTTTCTGGTCCCTGTAATGCCTCCTCCGCGCCCTACACATCCCCACCCTTCCCCAGATTGCTGCAGGCAGGTGCCACCTGCTGCCGCCTGCGTGTCTAGGAACAATCGGTTCTCAGGAAACAGTCACAGGAGTCAAACCAGGAGTAGAAACTATCAACAAAAAGGACAGGGATGTGGAAAATGGCACGTCCTACCTTCATGTTGTCAGGCGGGTCCCCTTGGCCTGTGGTTGCACACACAAACACCACCAACGGCTCGTGGATCAGCTGTGCCTGCATCACAACAAGCATGGACACACACCATCAGGGCCAACAACCTTCAACATCCACTGGTAAAGCCTCCCCACACAGCCTCCCCCACCTGCACAGCCAGCCCCAGTATCACTCCCTTCACAGCCCCAGCTGCAGACACTGCTGCCCCCCACAACGGCACACAGCCCATCCCCACACCACAGCCCCAACACACTGCCCTCGCACACCACAGCCCCCCACATAGCCACAGCCCCACACCCCCCTCACCCACACAACCAAACCCACACGCTGCCCGCAAGAGGACACGGCACAGCCCCTCACCCCACAGCATGCCCCCACCCTCCAGCCACAGCAGTACAACACATACACTCCCTACCCCCGCACGCATGCTGCTACCCCCAGCCCAGACACCCTTCCCATGCACACACAGCCCTGGCTGTTTGGCCACAGTAATGCGCATGTCGCCGCTACATGCCGGTGCAGGTCACAACCCCGGCACGCTGTGCAGGGCGTGGATGCTCACTGCCGTTCACCTAGAGAAAGCAGCGTGAGGGCCTTCTCCTCCAGAGAGCTGGGGCAGAAAGCCAGTTCCACCAGCCCTTCCCCTAGCAGCTCAAGGGGCACCCTGCACAGCTCTCCAGCAAGGGACCCCTGCGGGTAGCTGACGAGGAATGCCCCTAGCTTGGAAAGGTGCGTGTGGCGGTGCCACACTGAACTCTCTCCATCCAGCTACAGCACAGCCTCACGCATCCAACTGTCCTGGTGACCGCGAGGGGATTTATAACAGAGCAACAGATCAGACCAGCCCTCCCAGCAATGGTAATTAACAGGAGTGGGATCAGCAACCAGCAGAGAGCAGGATGGCACGCATGGCCCAGAGCCCAGACAGAGGGTATGATTAACAACACTGATAATGATTCACAGTAATAGCAACAAACAAAACTTGAGGAAATAAGTACAGAGGCCTGGGGTTCTCTGCCTCCCCCGTATCTCCTAGGCCCCAATGGGCCATTGGGCAGTAACGCTTTTCTCCTGCGTGACCTGCACTGACCAGTCTAGTGTCTCCAGCCGTCCAACAAATCTGCTGCCAGCACTGCCCAAACCCTTCGTGCAGCCACAGAGCACAGGTGCCAGCAGGGAGGCATTCTGGGACAGACAGGCAAGTGGGCACAGAATGGGTCGTCTCGTCAGCAGGATCTGGGGTTTACATCTGTACAGCCCTGACCTCAGAAGGGCCTGGCCCACTTTGTCAGAGCATCTCATCCCCCACCCCCACGCAGCACTGACAACTAGGGCTGTCAAGCGATTAAAAAAATAATCACGATTAATTGTGCTGTTATAAGACTCTAGCTGACCCCGGACTCCCCCTTTGAAACATGACAGCAGCATTTCAAAGGGGCAGCGTGCATGGAGCTTGGGGTCAGCTAGAGACTCCAGCTGACCCCAGCTCCACTTTGTGCTGCCCCTTTGAAACGTGGTGGCAGAGTTTCAAAGGGGCAGCATTGCAGAAACGTCTGTGATTAACTCACATTAAAAAAATTAACACATTAATTCTGCCCTTCATTAATTGACAGCCCTACTGACAACAGGTGTTAGCAAGACCCATTTGTGTTTTGTGGGAACGATGCAAGTGCCTTGTTTTATCTGATTCTGGCCACAGAAACCCCAGCTCTCATTTCTGCAGGACATGCTCATGCTCTTTGTCTTATAGAAAATGGCTCTACTGAACTCACCGGGACACCAGTTTGCTTGAACGCAGCTAAAAGCATGTTTTACTCCTTCCCTGGTTCTCAGTCTTTTACAGCAGACTACAGCAGGCGTGCCAGGTAGGTGACTCTGAGGGACAGCATGCAAGCCAGGGCCCAGGTGCAGGGTGCCATCCAGCACACCCTGGAAGGAACTCAGTGGGGAGGGATCAATACAGAATCTGCACAGAGCTCTTCTCTGCCTCAACATCCATTTTACCCCCTTCCCCCGCCCCCCACTCACCACAGGGTAACTGTCCAGGGCCTCCACCCTGCAGTGAAAGTGGCGCCGCTTGGCTTCCCTGCCAATTCTCTCGGCCGTATCCTGAGCTGTTCCCGTCTGGCTGCCAAAGAGAACGAGGAGCTTCCGTTCCGCCATCTGGAGGAGGCAAAACTAATCAATAAAGCACAGAGGAGCTGCAGCACCCGGTGACCTGCCCCACTGCACCCTGCCTGCCCCCCAGGGCCTCACCTGCCCCACTGGACCCCGCCTGCCCCACGGC